TATTGTTGAGACCAATCTGGTTGAAAAGGGAGCTAGTGTATCTGTAATCTTGTGTATGATGAAACATTATTATTTATAATTAGCTTTGTTTTGTAGCTTTTTACTTTAATGTTTATGTTTTGAGAAATTGAGCCGAACTTAGAGAAATATGCCTGCAAGGTGCATCTTCGTCTTTTTCGCATGTTTTTTTGGTTAAAATGGTCAACGTTATGCTCGCATGTTACAGCATCATTCTTGTCTTTAAAATAATTCACCTTTAAACGTTAATCTGCAAGGTTTTTGGGTACAAAACTCAAAGCTCTCTGCATATTTGTCCAACCTGAAAAAAAAATCAAAAGTAAAAAACCGAAAGTTTAGCCACCAGACATAAGCAGTTGTATGAAAAGCTAGCCTTACATTGTTAATATTTCACATATGACCCAAGCGGTGTGAGAAGACGAGGATGCATGGATGGCAAAACTGCTAATCAACATATATCTATCTTGGCTCAATGAACGTCTTGGCTAAAACCAAGAAGGAGAAGTTAAGAGTCATGGTGATAATTATGTGGTTTGGTGCTGCAGCTGATGAGAAGATATGGTCTTGGCTTAATACACCACAACATGTCTAGATAACATCACTTACCAGTCACTCCTTCGGCCTTCCTCACCCCTGCAATTGAAACAACAATCACAAATGAATACATCGAAAAACCAGGATCCGAGCTCGAGAATTTGACAAAGACAAATCATGTTGAATCAGAAACCGTTACCACAGCTGAGACAACGCTCTGAAGACAAATTGCGGCGAGAAAAGACCGATCTCCCTCCGCGAGATACCTGCGCAACGACGGCTCTCAGAATCGGCGCCATAGTCGTAAATTAGGGTTCGCGCTCTGATTTCTGATTTCTCTTCGAAAGGGGGAAAATTATACGACCAAATGGGACTCCGTTTTCTTTTTATCCCAATATATCGTTGGGCCTTGAATGGGCTCCTCTTCTTTCGTTTAAGGGAAAACATATACACACATTTTATTTTGGTAAACATCTAAAAAAGATATGGATCAAACCAGAGGTAACGCTACGAAAGCCTAGACACACGGTCACGACGTAATTTTAGAT